TTGTACTCCCCATGAAGCAGTTACGTCAACGTTTAGGTAAATTGGGACTAGGATGGGACGAAGAGATTCCAAATGAGGAAAGCAAACGTTGGTTAGAGATTTTAAATGGATTTCAGAGTGTTGAGAACGTTAGTTTTCCACGTTGTGTATTGTTTCTGCAATCAGATCGTTCGCTCCTGGAACTTCATATTTTCAGTGATGCATCGGAAACTGCATATGGTGCAGTAGCATACGTTCGCTCTTACATTTCTGACACTGAAATATGTTCTCGTCTTGTTACGGCTAAGGCAAGAGTAGCCCCCTTGAAAGTCCAAACTATACCGCGCTTGGAACTTACGGAAGCAGTTTTAGCAGCTCGCATGGGATACCAGCTGCAGTCAGAATTAGATATTAAGTTTGCAGAGGTTAATTTTTGGAAGGATTCCATGATTGTCTTACACTATATTAGAAATGAGAAAAGCCAGTTTAAAACATTCATAGCAAATCGAATTTCGACTATTCACAGTCTTACTAAGGTGGACCAATGGAGATTCGTACCTTCTAAAGAAAGCATAGCAGACTTTGCATCCAGAGGGGTCAAGTTTGACATTGATGATGTCAAGATTGGGAGAAGGGCTTTATGTTCTGCGGACTCAAGTAGTTGTTTGTGTGTGAATATGCAATGGTGCCTGAAGCCATGTGTTATGGTTATTCATTTTTTAAAAGAACTAGAAGGGTCCAATGTTACGATTTGGAATCAGAATAGAGAGTTCGCGGTAAATAAAGGAATTAATGGATTGGTCCTCTATATGTGTTTATATATCCATGTTTACGTTAGCGTATATGAGCTTCTATGGAGGATGAAGCATTTTGTTGTATGGTTGATATTGCGGTTGTTTATGTTGGCGCAAATATTTTGGAAACGTTTGTCTAAGGAATATGTTTCATTGTTGCAACTTAGACACAAATGGACTCAACCAGAGCCGAACATAGGAAAGAGTAACTTGGTGACAACATGTACTGGGTTTTTTAGAGAAAGCCAAATGGTTATTAGGTCTGGTAAGGAAAGTGACACCAAATGGTGATAGGTTAAGACCGATAGAGTTGCGGACAAGCGAAGGGATCTTGGCAAGAGATATTAGAAAACTGCGTCTAGAAGTTGTAGATATTAGGTAGCTACTCGGATCCCTAGAAGTACTGGTGTAAGTCCTAGGGATCACGAGATTGTTGGTATATTGAGTGTTTGTTGTTGATTGTTTGTGATGCATATACTTGGATTCTTGATGTCTATTTATTTGTCTGTGAAAAGAACCAAGGTTCTTTTGGTCGGGAGTGTTACGGGAGAACTGAAGACGTTTGGCGGATTAAAACCTTTTATTGTACATTAATAATTTACTGTGTTTTTTGGATGTAATTGTTTTACTTAACTTTTGAACTTGTTTGTTTATATCATTATTTCAAACATTTTGGTTTGTCTTTGGTTTGGTATTTGGGAGTTTTGCTCCGGGAACCTACAAAATTGAAGGTTTGTTTTGTAATTGTTATAATTATTGTTGTTAGAACGACATTTGGTCGATTATTTGTGAATTACGAATAAATTTGGTATCTAAATTGCAACTTGGTTCTGTTGTTAATTTGGGTTCGTAATTTGCAAGTAGATGGATAGTCCGTACTTCAATAACTGGAACGAGCAAAACTTGGACGTAACATTATCTTTATCAACGATTTCAAAAGACAGTGTAGAGTCATATGGCAGTTCAGAGTTAAATGAAATCCAGAATTCTTGTGAGACAACAGTTCCTAATCAACCGATTTATCAGAATTCTCATGCTATTGTACCAGGTACGACTTTTCCTAATGATTCACATATTTCTAATGAAATTACTTGCAATTCTGAGGAAAATATGTTAAATGAACCTAATCATGATCGAAAACCTGATGTGGTTTGGATAGATGCTGATTTTTCTAACGATCCTACGCTCTGCAATGACAGTCCTAATGAATTTCTGAAGAATATTTCAGAAGAATCAAATCCTGATGTGATATCATATATTACCTATCTTCATAATGCATTTGATCCTAATGAAAAGCCTGCTCAATGCGAAGCACGAGTACTAAGTGACCTCGAGTTTGATTACATTTCGGATGATTTCATATCAACTGCTGTTTACCCTTATCACAAAAACAGTTCTATTGTTTACTCTAAACAATGTGAGAAATATGTTTTAAATGAAGCCACATTATTCATAACTTGGGGATATAAAGATCCAACATTATTTCGTGGGGGAGGATAGTGTTGAAAAATCTATGGTTCTAATTCTAGATATTAATGATTTCGGTACAAAATCGATATGCTGAGTGTATACAATTCCAGATAGTACAAAGTTTTTATATTATACAATGTCGGACAAACTCAGGATGAACTTAACAAGAAGACGTACAACCGATTACAGACACTTATACTCCTAATTAAGCTGTGGCGGATGTGGTGTTTGAATTAACTAATGATTCTTTGGTACTTGTTGAATGCTCTATTTCGAATTCCAAATACAATACATTCGCTTGTGCTTGTGTCTCACTTCTTAATTCAATCGCATTAATTCTGGGTTTCCTAGTTCATAATACAATTCAAATAATTGAAATATTATGGTACGATACAACCTTGATAAAACTTATAACCAAAAGAAAATCCATAAATGTCAGTAGAGATTGTAAATTTATAGTCCTCAGTACCAACAACGTGAAAACTCATATTTTTAAAAACATAGTTATCTCTTCAGAACTACGTTTTATAATTGTATAGCATACTCCAAGAACAAATTACAACCTTCCTGATATCTTCTTACGTGTTATTGCGGCCGAACTATAAATACAGTTTTCTTCTCTTTGTATAATAGTACACGTAATATTTCCGGTTGACAATGTTTTGAATCCCCTGCTAATTGTCATCAAATTCTGCTACACACGTTGTGTCAGCGTGAATTGTAGCTGTATCTGTTGGTATCGTGATTTGTAAGCAATAATGGCCTAAATTTGAACCACACTTTCCCGAATTTTCAATGACATACGCTATCACATTAATCAAATTTCAAAAATACCGTTGATCAGATGGCATCATGCAACACTTTTACTGGTAAAAGAGAGGTATATATTCTGGATACGAGTTTTTTGTAATGAGTTGCTGGGGCAAGCTACGATGTTCGGCTACTGGATCTACTTAAAATGATACACGTTTTCGACGGTTAAACAGCTTGTAAAAGCTCTCTCTGTTGCTATTATTAGCTCAGTGTATGTCAAATAAGTGAAATAGTAAGTATTCAAATCACTATCTTTAGACTTTTTGTAGTAAATGGTTTTTAGTTTTCGCAGGCTTCTGTGCTTTTTGAAACAAGGCTCTAGTTGGAACGTCAGCAGTGCCGTTATTTGTCATTAACTCCAAATTTCAGATTGGTATGTGCTGTGTGCTACTGATGTCGATAGATGTAAGTAGTGCGTATCGTCAATCAAAAGTGAAATACCTGAAGGCAGAAGGTTGAGAAGATCAAAGAAAAGAGAACGAAAACAAGAAATGACTGGCTTGGAAACGAAAGAACAATGAAGTCTAGCACGCTTAACTGATAATTTGCAAACGAAGTATTCACTTTAAGGTTCTCAGGTTTTACTATAAGATTTTGTAATATTGTGTTCAAATACACTCGATTTTCCCCGCGTTTGTTCCCGTTCACTACAAATATACGATATTTATTAGCTGAGTGGTTGCTAAGTGATCAATGAGATCAAAATTCGACTACGAATCTACACATTAAAAGTGAGGTTTACTTTATACCGAAACGGTTCGGGGCAACCATCATCAAGCGATTGTGGACGCTCCATCCCATCCCCACACCTAATCTTATCGTCATTTCAAGGTCTGTCAAGTATTCTGGATTCTCGAACTCTGTTATATGCTGATGAAATTAGTGTAAAGAAACTAGTACAAGAACCTTCGGGTATATTGACTGTGCAAGATAGCTTTAATATGACAGATGATTACGCAATCAGGTACTGTCTCCTTAATAATAACAGTATAAAGAGGATGAAGAAGTTAAACAGAAGTGATGCATCTACCTTATACTCCCTGGATGATTCCAGTCAACAATTTACTCTAAGTGGGCTTGAGTATCACTTCGTCTGATTCCCTAGGTATTTATTTTCATCGATATGCAGTCGATAAGAAATACTCAGTCACTGAGACTGGGTTCATTATACGATTTACAGGAAAACAGCTTAAAAGGGAACTGAACTAAGGACTAAACCATACCACCTGGAGATAATCCATTCATAATTTTTTCAACACGAAACAATATGTTTGGCGTTCGTCACGCTCGACACCAATTAAAGTAACACTCAAGCCCACTTAGAGTAAATTGTAGACTGGAATCATCCAGGGAGTATAAGGTAGATGCATCACTTCTGTTTAACTTCTTCATCCTCTTTATACTGTTATTATTAAGGAGACAGTACCTGATTGCGTAATCATCTGTCATATTTAAGCTATCTTGCACAGTCAATATACCCGAAGGTTCTTGTACTAGTTTCTTTACACTAATTTCATCAGCATATAACAGAGTTCGAGAATCCAGAATACTTGACAGACCTTGAAATGACGATAAGATTAGGTGTGGGGATGGGATGGAGCGTCCACAATCGCTTGTTGATGGTTGTTTGGAGATATTTCAGAATAAATCGCTAGTTCATATAACTATATTAGGCTTATATTTCTTTACTGTTTCAAAATAAAATAGTATCGCACTCTCTAAAACTTCTTTCATTCTTTTAATCATATAATCTTATACTTTGTCCCCAAACCTTTCTTGAAAAATGTCTAGTGAGGTTTGTATTTTTGAAATAAGAATGACCGATACGCTTCAAAGGTTCTCAAAAAGTTTATAGTCTTAACTGTTTAGGATTCTACTCTGTTTGTTTACATCAGTACGGTACCCATATTGTTGGCAGTAAGTGGAAGTGCGCCCTAATTGATAATGGTCTTGAGACGAGGAGAGACTACTAGCCGTGGTTGGCGTTCTAAAAGCAATCATCGTTGCTGCTTCAATTCCCTGTTTAGAAACAAAGAAACTAGATATGTATCGGATTCTGTTTGTTCCACTTCTTCTTCATCAGCTGGTCATCGAAAACGGTCCAGCACATCCGAAAAAGCATCCTCTGGTTATGGTTGTTCAGACCCTAAAAGACGTCGTGTTTCAGAACGTAGTAAAAGGTACACATATAAACTTTTGATTTTGAATAGTCTTGTTTTTATTTCTTTCGTGTCACTGAGTCTGTGATTGTTTTTATCCCCGTTGGTTCAGGCGGAATCATAGTTCCCATGTATCAGTTCCTAATTTCAATCATACAACGAGCACATGTAAGGCAGTACGTATCTCTGGTGATAAGGGCCGTCCTCGAGACCGTTCTAACAGTTCCTCCTGCAGTGGCATCGCTCCTAGTCATGCTACCAAACCTCCGCCTCACCATCCAACTAAGCGAGAACGGCAGCGTAGTCCAAGTATCGAAATCCATGATGGGCATTCAATGCGCGTTCACTTACATAATGGGCAATTTCCTGGTTCTCCGAGACTCCCTGACAGAGATGACAAGCAAATAGCACGTCGGAAGAGAGAAGAAAAGCGTCGCGATGAAAAAGCACGAAGGAAAGCTAGTCATGAGCATCACAAACGCAAACCATCTGCTATTGTACCGGTCGGTGACACTATCAAGCGACGCTTTCGAGTGGAGAAGATACTAGGAGAGGGTAGCTATGGGCAAGTTTTTGAATGTTTTGACTTGTACACAAATTCGTTGACTGCTGTCAAGGCTCTTAAACCTCAGAGTGATTATAGTGATGCTGCGCGTCACGAGGTTAATGTTTTAGAAACTATTGCAAGATTAGATGCCAAAGATCGATCCCATTGCATATCATCTATAGATTTCTTCGAATGGCATGAACACTTCTATATTGTATTTCCTCTACTTGGTCCAAGTGTTTTTACATTTCTTGAAAAGAATGAGTACGAACCGTACACCATTGAACAATGTGCAATAATTATCCGACAGTTGTGTGAGGCTGTTGCCTTTTTGCATCGAAATAAGCTCACACACACAGATTTAAAACCTGAGAATATTTTATTTGTTGATGGTACTTACGACGAAGTTTATGTCAACCATCGTGGCAGAACAGTACGGCGAATCCGTAATCCATCCATAAAGCTTATAGACTTCGGATCAGCCACTTTCGATGAAGATCACCACTCGACTACCATACAGACACGGCACTATCGTGCTCCTGAAGTTGTTATGGAGCTTGGATGGGATCGATCTGCTGATGTATGGTCTATAGGATGTATTTTGTATGAATTGGTGACAGGACAATGTTTATTCATGACACATGATAACCTTGAGCACCTAGCTATGATGGAACGTTTACTAGGGACTCTCCCAAAATGTATGACAAAGGTGTCCCGTCGACGACGATATTTCCGCCATGGTCGGTTAGATTGGTCTCCTGCTTCTTCAGAGTCTCGTTACGTTAGGAGAGTTCTGAAACCTCTTGGTGACTACTGGTTTTCTAATTCTGACCTTTACAAGCGCCTGGCTTTCGATCTTGTAAAAGAGATGTTGGTGTACATTCCGTCAGAACGAATTACCTGTTCCAGAGCATTAGAGCATCCTTTTATTCTTTCGTTTCATAGTTGAAATTATTCACTACCCCTGTACAATATCCCCCCTGACTATGATTATCATTGTTATTTTTGTGAATATTTGTTTTCTTTGCAATGGATACATATGTCGGCCGTCAGTAGCACTACAGGTTTTTCTTACTTCGTTAAGGTTTGAAAGCTTAATTTTCGTATTTTCTAAAATTCGACAGCAGAAAAAATAACAACAATCATCTCTTCAAAACGTCTTTATTTATCTGGTTCCCAACCTCCACTTTTACACTAGTCTAGACTTTCTAAAAGTTCGTAAAATTCAGAGTTAAAGATTTTGTCTAGCGTCATCGCACTGCCACCCGTGTCTGTGTAACAGCCTAGGTTGGTTGGTTAAGAGTTGACCCCAAACAACCAAGCATATGCCAAAACAGTACTGTTCAAGTATTCATTCACTTCCTTGTTTTGTATAAGCGTTATATTCCCTATTATCTTATATTGAATGTTGAGAGCCTTTGTTTGTCTGAACAGGTAATCGGACGCTCCACTGTCACCGCGCTAAGATCGAAATAAAGACCTATTCACTACTTCTCTGGTTTCTTCTATCAATAGCACGAGGGCTACTTTAAGGCACGAAACTGGTGAGCCCTTTTTGAACACAAATTTAACCTCATTTCTGTTATTAATATTTTTTTTACTTAATCGTAAAAGTAGACCTGATTATCCGTAAACTAATTTGAGTATATAACTAGTTTATTCCGTATTATCTTAAGTTATTCGTGTTATAGTAACCACTTTTTGTGCTAACTTTATTGCTATATTTGTCACATACCTCATGTCAGACTCAATAGAAACCCATAATCTGGAGGATTTGTCACCAGTGGAGATAGACACTGTTATGACTACGAAATCCCGACTTCCAGAATTTGATCGTAGTGATCCTGAGTTGTGGTTTGCTCAACTAGAGCATTATTTCACGAGACACAATATCAAATCTGAAGGGATTCGCTATAGAGACTTGTGTTCTATCCTTCCTCCTTCAGTCGCCAAAGAAGTCCGTGACTTGATTTTGATTCCACCATCACCACAACCATACACCATCTTAAGACGAGAGATAATGAACCGTTTATCATTATCAGATAGTCAAAGAATCCAAAGACTTTTTCAAGGTGAAACACTAGGTGATCGGTCGCCGTCACAGTTTTTACGTCACCTCCAAGTCTTAGTGGGTGATAACACAGTGGGTGAAGCAGTCCTAAAACAAGGATGGATACAAGCTCTCCCATGCTACGTCCAACACTGTTTGGATGCACAGGATCCTGAAACCTCATTATCTCATTAGCGCGTATAGCCGACAGAATAATGGAAAGAGGTCCTCCAACTGGATCAGGCATAATAAATCACACACAAAAAGTAGAATCAGCAAAAGACCCCGTAATAGAAGGACTCATTGCGAGTGTTAAGAGTCTCACTGAGGCTGTCACCAGAATGCAAATGGGTCATAGAAACAGGAGCAGGTCACCACAACGACCACGATCCAAGTCACAAAACAGGTCACAAATGTCCAGACAATCTGGGCAGTTTTGTTGGTACCACTGGAAGTTTGGTGTCAACTCAACCAAGTGCATGCAACCATGCGCCTGGCCGAAGCATAATTCTAAGTCAGCGGGAAACGAGTAACCCCTCCCCAGGTCGCGACGACTGAGGAGGGGCGCCTAAACAGTCGCTTGTTTTATGTTAGAGACAGAAACTCGGGCTTGAATTTCTTGGTGGATACTGGCGCTGCTCTTAGCATCATCCCTCAAAATAAAACTGAGATTAGTCGAGAAACATCATCAATTACACTTCTGAGGTGCAAACCAATTCGTTACTTGGATGAATTGACGATATATTGCTTCAATATATCATGCATACCTAAATCAAACAAGAAAAGGGTATTTGACACAACTGTACTTGATCCGCATACTCTACACAATTTTTTTGCTTCTTAACCGTATATTCTTTTCCGTTTTGTGGAGTACAATTATGCACCCTTGTTTACGCACCTAGTTGTGAAACGTGGTCATCACAAGCTCAAGGTCACGGGTTTGATCGATTTTGTTAAAGAGACCAACTTAGAGCAAGTTAAGGCTTTTATATATATGCATTACAAATGAGTATTTTTTTTGTTTTCATGGTTTTCGGTGCACAAGATATCTACACTATGTCTATTCTCTTCCAGAATACCAATCCGTTCTGCAGACCTAGCACTTACATGTGACCAAACAATTATCAATTACATTTATGTATTTCCATTTTGTATCTTATTATTTTATGCAGGCAGTGGAGCAGTTCTTCAGTTTGCTTGATTTTCACCATTACCTTTGAAGTAGATTCTTCTTTACTTTTTACTTGAGGGCGACTCAAGAGGCAGGTGAGTAAACACCTGATAGCCGGTCTGAGCACGGAAAAATCGTACCTCACCAACATGGTGTTGGGTAGCCCGCTCGCGGCACTTCCTCAGATATTCTTATTCCACATTCTCATACTTTCTCTTGAATGCACGCAGCAAACCGTCGGCGATAGTTGTAGAAGAAATCACATGCTACAAAATAAGATGACAAGCTAGTAAATAAGAGACATCCATGGACCATCGTTGACAGTGTTAGTCGTCACTGATTGTAAGTCAAACAGTGAGCGAGTTGATAATTTTCCCTGGGGATGAGAAATAGAACCAAGGTGTTTTCGGGGATAGTTAGGTTAATCGAACCGACGTTCCTACGGAAGTCGATTCTAGGGGGAAGCTAATGTAACAACCTAGGTTGGTTGGTTAAGAGTTGACCCCAAACAACCAAGCATATGCCAAAACAGTACTGTTCAAGTATTCATTCACTTCCTTGTTTTGTATAAGCGTTATATTCCCTATTATCTTATATTGAATGTTGAGAGCCTTTGTTTGTCTGAACAGGTAATCGGACGCTCCACTGTCACCGCGCTAAGATCGAAATAAAGACCTATTCACTACTTCTCTGATTTCTTCTATCAATAGCACGAGGGCTACTTTAAGGCACGAAACTGGTGAGCCCTTTTT